AACCAGTGGAGAAAGTCAAGTAGCTTTTATGCGTAAAGATAAACTAATTGGATCCAAAAGATATGATGATGGGAAATAGCCACAAGATTACACATCGATGCTATATGATTGCTAATGAAACTCTAGGTAAACATGATAAAATACATCTCTCACAATTTTAGAGTCCGTTCTCATCACTGTCTAGATTGATTAACATTGCACCRTTAAATAATAAAATGTTTGCACATACTGCATCCCACAGACTAATTTGAGCCAACAAATCATAAAAACCCTCTTCCATTCTGGAATTTTCTTCAAGAATGGATCATAAAAGTACATCCCTCACAATTGTAAATCTTAAGTTCACGAGTTTGCACAAATTTCCTCATTTTCCAAATCGATCAACTTTGAGCCGCCATTAAAACAAAAAAAAATCTTGGATATGGTCATTTTCTAGAAGCAAACAAAATAAAGTTACCTTCAACTCTCGTATAACACCACCTAAAGACACATGCTATTTAATAGAGGGGGGAAATGAAAACCTTATTTAGTTCAGGCACTATTTGTTGTAATTGATACACTAAAGATGAAGAGAATTGAAAACGCAGAAGAACAGAGGTGAAAAAGAAAGCCTGTATGATCGGTCTTCTTTAAGCCATGATAAGATACCAAGGAAATATAAGTGGAAAATATTACCTGCATAAGGAGCAAGCATATTTGTATGCTGAGGTCATCCTGCAGCATGTCAAGAGAACGATTTCAGAAGCCTGATATGAAACATATGGATTTTATAAGTTACAATATTACGCAATTCTAAATGAGTAGAGTTCAAAATCGGATCAATTGAATGGGAAATATTAAGTAAATGGGCTTGTCAACTAACATTATATGGTCTGCTGATACACATTGGTCATGGTACACTATATAATTTGAAGAAGTTCCATCAAAAGATTCTTCTTACGGTAACATCTATTTAAAGTTGAGAATTTTATACAATCAATCAAATAAGAACATTAAAACTAAGGGCCAACCAATCAAAAGATCTGTACAACCCAAGTTGTTTCATTTAAAACTAAACTTAAGTGTGAATTTATCTGTTTGAAAATGTTGAAGTTAGTCTTCAATGTGGGAGTCTCGTCCCAATGGATTTCCAATGGATTTTGCCCTGTGTTGGTGGGCAGAAGAGCTAAGGTTGGAGGCTTCCCTTTGCTCTTCAAGAAGTCTTGATATATTAAAAGTAGAGAAATTAACTGAAATAGTCAATCCTATCAACCAAATTCACTATTTAATCATTTTTGAGTCTTTTTTTAAAATAGCCCGTCTTTATGATTTAGTTTTATTTTCTTTAAATTCAATTCAATTCTTGTTAATAATCAAAATTCTATCCTAAACACAGACAAGTTCTCACTATGTTCGCTTCTATAGTTCTACACGCTCTGTTTTCCATAAAATTGCTTGCAAAACGCTACTTTACTTTACATACACAAAATATTTTTATGTATTAGGGTAGTAACTTTTCTACTTTAAAGTAATGGTCCAGTCTCCACAGATAAGTTTATGTGAAAAGTCTGTCTACATAAATAGCCAACATCAATTATACCAATACCCTATATCCAAATTCCGATTCAGACTTAGAATAACCACATATCATACGTATTATCTAAATTCCAATTCAATRTATTAGAAAACCCAGACTTTTCAAACACCCATACAAGTACTACCGTCGACGAACATAAAGACTTGAACCTCAACCAAGTAATTCATTTCAACAAGTTTCATCAATTCCATTCCAAATTCTAAAACCAAACATTTCAAATCCAAATTCTCTCCAACTCCAAATCCTTCCATAAAATTCAAATCCCACCAAACCATTCTATCAGACCAAAAAACAAAAAATACAAAATCATAAATCAAAAGCTAATGTAAAAAGAGAGTAGAGAAAACTTAAATAATATAATATGTTAATTCAAAGAATTTTAAAATTGATTATACATGTAC